GAATAGAATAGGAGTTCTTTATTAGCCAAGTGTGATTGGACACACAAGGAATTTGTCTTCGTGCAAATTCTCTCAGTATGCATAAAAAGAAAAGATACATTCGTCAAGAATCATAAGGGACAAAACTTAATGCTAGTCATAGGGTACAACAAGCAATCAAATCATACTAGGAAACAGTCAGTACAAATCGTAAGGATACAAGCAAAAAAGTTACAGTCCTACAATCACAAGTGGGAGGGGATGGGTGATAAGGGGTGATGAGAAGGTTAATAGAATAGTAGTGCAGACTTAGTAAATAGTTGGACAGTATTGAGGGAATTATTTGTTTAGCAGAGTGAGGGCATTTGGGGAAAAACTGTCCTTGTGTCTCGTTGTTCTGGTGTGCAGTGCCCTATAACGTCATTTGGAGGGTAGGAGTGTCCAGGATGTGAAGGGTCTGTAGATATTTTCACAGCCCTCTTTTTGACTCGTGCAGGATATACAGGTCCTCAGTAGAAAAAAAGAATAGAATAGAATAATAGAATAGAGAAAAAGAATAGAATAGAGAAAAAGAATAGAATAGAATAGAGAAAAAGAATAGAATAGAACAGAATAGAATAGAATAATAAAATAGAGAAAAAGAATAGAATAGAATAGAGAAAAAGAATAGAAGAACAGAATAGGGTAGAAGAATTGAAGAATAGGATAGAATTCTATTCTCTTCCAACAACTTCTGGTGGCAAGCTGTTCCACTGGTTAATTGTTCCCACTGTCAGGGAATTTCTCCTTCATTCTATTTGCTGATCTGGTCCAGAAGAAAGTAATGTGGTCATATAAAAAGTATATAGACAGTCCTTGACTTAACAATCATTCACTTAGTGACCTCCAAAGTTAGAATGGAACTGAAAAAGGGACTTATGTCCACTCCTTGCATGGTTGCAGCTTCCCCAGGGAGACACGACCAAGTGCCAATGAGAATGAACGATTCTGCTTGGGATCTGGGTTCAGAAGGGATGATTTGAATAATTTCCCCCGAACAACAACCTTGTAAGGTAACTTGACTTGGCTTAAGAAATGTCGGCTGGGTAGAAATTTGAAGCCCGATGTTACTGTTTTCTGGCCCAAAGCATGAATTGCTACATAACAAACACGTCCTTGGTGGCCTTTATTGCTGTGGCTTCGCACCGGGTTTTGCTAATACTGATCTTCTGTTTTTCAGAGATTCCACAGAAATGTTGAGGTTCTTCTTGGCTGCCGTCTTCTCTTGTCTGCTGGCTACAGAAGTCAGGGCTCACAAAGCTGCAAGACTCGGTTGCCACTTACACTGTAAGCTTCTGTTGTGGTTCGCCGGCAGCAGGTGCAGGCGGCTGAGGTGTCGGAGAGCGAGGACTCGGATGAGGGGCCTGCGTGGGATGCAGGGATGGGGCCAGGACCATCAGGGAGTGGAGAGTGTGGAGGCTGGCAGCAGTGAGGAAGAGGCCCCCGAGGAGCCTGTGCCCAGTGTGTGCACGTGCAGGGTTGCTTGAAGGAAAGAGCAGCTGCAGCTGCACGGGTGACTCGGGAGTAAGGCTGCAAGGTGATGGCCCCTCCCTCAAGAGATAAAAGCCAGCTGAGAAACTGCAGTTCTTTGCAGAAGGCAAAGTTGTTTGATACTCGAGCCTGGTGGACGTTAGAATATCTGAGTTGGTATTTGGAGACTCTTGGATTTATTGTTTAGGAAATTTATCTGTTGTTCTCGGCAGCCTTGCAAAAACTTGGCAAGGCTCTTTCTTGTCGGAGCTAATTAGTGGGAAGCAGCCTCTTATCTGTGAAGAAACAGGATTAGTAAATGAAACAGCAAAGGTTGTGCTGGTACCTTGTGTTTACTCTCTTGGAACCAGGTTTGGGTCAGAACAGCTTCGGGGGAGGGGGACAAATGGACAGGCAGACAGAAAGACAGAAGGAGCAATAAAGGAGAACATTAGCAGAGACAATGCTACCTAGCTTGGCTAACGAAACGACGTCCAGAAGACAACCCAGCTGAGAGAGCAGCATCAAGGACCTCTCAGACAGACCCAGAACAGACAGGAAAGAAAAAGGATTTGAATTGCTCTGATATGGAGATCCTTCTAGGTTTATGTCGTGCATTCACCGTAAGAGAAGAATCGAGCTGGAAGGAACCCTGGAGGTCTTCTAGTCCTGCCCTTCAAGCAGGAGATCCTACACCATTCTAGACAAATGGTTGTCTAGCATCTTCTGGAAAGCCTCCAGTGATGGAGCACCTAGAACGTCTCAGGGAAGTTGTTCCACTGGTTCCTTGTTCTCACTGTCAGGAATTCCTTCCCTGATCCTGGAGTGTTTGTCTACTTGGTTAGTTCCCTCTTGCCTTCGGCTGCTTTGAAGAAGAGCTGGACCCCCCTCTTCCTTATGGCTGTCAGGTTTCCAAGGGATGAAATCCATTTAAAAAGAAATGAACAAAGTCCATATGTCAATTTTGGGCTTGACAAATATTGGAAGACTGCTATCATGTCTTCCCTAGTTTTTCTCTTTGTTTTGCTGGACATATCCAGTTCCCATCGCCATTCCTTGTATGCTACAGCCTTCCCTCCTCCTAATAATCTTCAACCCAACCTAGAACTAAGGAGAAACTTTCTGTTAATGGCAACAATTAATCAGTGGAAGGGTTTGCCTTTGGAACTTGTGGATGATCCATCACTGGAGGCTGTTAAGAAGAGAATGGACAGCCCATTTGTCCAGAATGATGTAAACTAAGTCTCCTGCTTGAGCAGGGGGTTGGACTAGAAGACCTCCAAGTTCCCTTCCAGACCAGTGATTCTATCAAATAGATAAGATAGATAAATAGTTTAGATAGAGAGAAAGAAAGAAAGAGAGACAGAGATGATAGATGATAGATGTAGGTAGGTAGGTAAGTAGAATAGATAGGTAGGTGGGTAGATAGATAGATAGATTAGATAGATAGATAGATAGATAGATAGATAGATAGATAGATAGATAGATAGATAGATAGATA